ACGGTGAAGTTGAGCCAAGAGAGGAAGGTGCGCTCGTTGGCGAAGAAGACTTTGGGTTCTACGCGGACGGGGAGGGCGATGCGTTTGCCTGTTGTAGGTGCTATTGTTAGCTTGAGGAGGGGAAGGGTGGGAGGAGAGAGGGTTGTACCCGGCGCTGTCTGGAGGAGTGGTTGGCTTGACATGGTCGCTGCTTGGGCGGATGGTATGGGTTACGTCGAGGTCTGTTCAAGATGACCTCGTGGTATGCTGGTCCCCTCGACACCCAAGCCACAAAAGGAAAGGCGATATTCGATGGACGCTGTTGAGCACTTCGTGTACTGTGCTCTGTCAATATCGACATCAAATCAAAAGAAACCAATGGCTCCGGTAACGAGAAGCCCCCACTTCAAAGTCACGTTCGTGGCGCTGTCCCTTGATTTGTTCGGTATGTGCCGATGATCGACCGGCATCACGCTGATCTCGGTTCCGACCCCGCAATTCAATGTGAAACATTGATTTGTTTGGGTGCGACGTAAACAGAAGGTACGCAACTAGATACACATAATCACACACCCAACTGTACTGGACACGACCATTGATCTTTCTAGACGCCAGCACTGAGGAACCAAAGATCCCCTACCGCGAACATGGCCAACTCAGTAAGCTGCCCCTATCCCCCAAGTCCACTCCCTACTAACATACTCTTCCAGCCGGTCCCCCAAACCCGCCTAAAGCAAATCTGCAACGACGCATGCGACTCCACCCTCTCCACCGCTACCTCCTACGACCACTCCCAGACCGCCGTCTGGAACAACAGCATCATCAACTCCATCCTCAAAGCCCTGATCTCCGAGTCCTCCACCGCGGAAGCGTCGTCGCACAAGTATAAATTCTGTGTAAATAGTACGATCATACAACACCTCTCCGATCCGCGATCGACAGGTACGGGTGAGAGCAGTACGCATCAGGAGGCGGGGATGGGAGAGGAGGCTGTGGCAGGCGAGGGTGGTGCGGCGAAGAAGGTTGGGAGGAGGGGGATGCATAGTGCGAGTGGAGCGTATTGGAATAATGAGAAGGATGGGATGTGGAGTCATAAGTACGAGGGCGGGGAGGGAAAGGGAATGGATATCGTGGTTAGCGTGATGTGGATTGCCGTGTGAGAGGAGAGGGAGTGACGTTGTTGAGGCGATGGCGTTGGGTTGGCATATTTGTTGATGAATTGTCGTGGAACATATTGAATATATGTGTGCATAGTTACAGCGGGCATGTATAGGTTCTGACCTAGGACGGCTGTGTTCCTGGTACTGCGCAAGTGGGTTCTAGGGAGACAACCTCGATGATTCATGGGGACTCAAGGTGCCAGACATTCTTCGAGGGCAATTGTACGGACAACTGCTATGAAGACTGGCCAAGTAGGAGTCCCGTGCGGGCGGGCCTACGCATGTAGAAGTATCGCTGTAGACTCTGACTTGGTCGAGGTCGAGGGAGAGGACTTCCAGTACAGAATGCTGGCCTTTCATCCATTAATATGTAGTCGCTAAATGTAAGGTATGTACATAGCAGCCAGGACAGGCTACTTCACCGGCCGCCAATAGTGTCCAAGATGCCGCTGGACATCTTCCGTATCGGCGGCCTCATGATCCCCAGATCCAAGAACGGTGTCGGGTCCTACAAAGACATCAGAAACTTGCCGTGACGTCTACGAGAACATGATGCATACGAGCCAAAACTGCCAAAGCTGGACTTTCGGCTTCGGGAATGCGGCGTCGTCGACTACACATCGCGCCGTGTAGGAGGTCTCGCCTACCAAACCCTCGCTGGAAATCATAGTGAGAGTCCCAGTCATGAGCAGATCGTCTCCGCTCTCGCTGCAGACATAGACTTTGTGGACCACATGGCGGCGAGAGGCGACATCGTCGCTACTCTTGTCATGCCAGTTCATGATCTCTACCCGAACATCAGTACCCAGCTGGCAAGCACTACAGCACTTCACATACGCTCCCGCCCCTTCATCCTCCGTTTATTCACCACAAACTCCCCATCCTCCCCAAACACCTGCCCCGCCAAAAGCTCACTACTCTCCACCGTCGCCGCATCAACGAGCGTGTAGAACCTCGCCAGAAGCCGTTTCATCGCCTTGGTGATCGGCTGAGAAGGCCATTCTGCGCCATCCATGGGTGCATTACTGGCGGTCATATGCGTTGCGAAGCTTGCTAATAACGAGTGTTGTGCGGGTGCAAGATGCCATTGTGGTTAACAGAGGAACGGGTGGAGCGATGAGGTGAGGTGATGTGAGGGGGCGAACCTGAGTTTGGGGACGGAGGCGTAATTGCATGCACGGCTCCTCGGGGGCGGGAAACGAGAGGGTTCATGTTGGAATATCAAGTAGAGGATGCGTCGATTGCTAAGAGGCGATCACGAAGAGCCGAGTACATGACGGCCAAAAAATTGCATGCCCTCTTCTGCCTTCCGAGATATCGATTGTTCAGTCAAGAGCTGATGAGGTTGCCGCTCTGTTTGAAGAATCTCTACGCGACTTGCGCAAGGCTGCCGACCACCCCGAGCAATGCCTGGAACACATCACCATCCCAAGCCACTCTTCGCCCTCTGCCGTCACTCTGGAAGCACCAAATGAGGTCTTTAGCACCTCAGATCGGCTCAGATCGACAAGTCGAAGAAGAAACGCTCCCACAATATGACCCCGAAGAGTTCTATCCGGTTCGCATTGGGCAGACGCTCGACTCGCGTTATAATGTCATCGGCAAGCTTGGCTACGGTGCGAATTCGACCGTATGGTTCTGCAGAGATCTCGAGTAAGGCGAACAACATGGCTTTCCGCATCTATTGCAACTGACACTGCCCTATAGCACGGCACAGTATGTCGCCACGAAAGTATACACTCGTACGCCTCCAGGAGGGACAAATCGTGAGAAGCTCCTATACGAACAATGTGACAAGACGACTACGACACATCCAGGTGCATTATGTGTCCGACCGGTTCTCGACGTCTTCGAGCTTGTCCGCAAGAACGGCGATGTGCATGTGTGCCTGATCCATCCACCGCTACAGACCACGCTATTCGCCTTCCAGAGGTTAGGTGGTCGACCGGCACCACTGCCTGAGGAGGTCGCGAAAGTGTGTATGAGAAGCTTGCTCGAGGCCCTCGATTTCCTTCACACCGAGATTGGCGTCACACACTGCGGTATGAGGTCTTTTTCGGGCTGTGTAAGCGACACAGCTTATGTTTCTGCTCCCAGACATCAGACTCTCGAACCTCATGTTCCAGGTCGAAGATGAAAGCATTTTTCCAGACTACGAAGAGGCAGAGAAGGAGTCACCTAGCGAACGTAAAGTCATTAACGAAGAGCGATCTATTTACTCCTCTCGACGATTCCGACAGCCGCGCGCGTACGCATACGGTCTTCCTGTGCTGTGCGACTTTGGAGAAGCCCGTATAGGATCGTCACACCCTTGGGCGAACATCCAACCCGAAGTATTCAGGGCACCTGAAATACTTATGCAGTTTGAGCACCACGATTGTGCTATAGATATTTGGAACGTGGGCTGTGTGGCAAGTTTCGGCAGAATTCTATCTCTTTGGTCTCATGTGCTAATGTGGCAACCAGCTGTGGGACATGCTCGAAGTGGATCATCTGCTCGACGGTACTGATGAGGAGGGCCACCACAATAACCGTCTTCACATGCATGAGATTGTCAGTCTACTCAGCGTTCCGCCGTTTGAGTTCTTGCGGCGCAGTCCGCAAACGTGGCGACTCTTCGATGAATTCGGTATTGCTTTGCTGCCTGAATAGAGAAGTGGTACTGTTGCTGACAGTGACGATGCAGGGCAATTGAGAACAGAGCCACCAGTCACTCCTTCGTCTCTGGCAAGCAGGATGAAACATTGCCCAGCGCAAAGCAGAGCGCCGATCCTGGACTTTCTATCTTGTAAGCTACGCTGGCTTCCAGAAGACAGGATGACTGCAAGAGCTCTGCTTGAGCACCCTTGGCTGCATGGCTTTTGAGATGCCGCAGCCCAAGTTCCCTAGTCACGTGCTGCCCGGTCAGCAGACTCCAGAATGGCCACACAGGAATGCTACTTTCGCCATTCAAGTTGATTCAACCGCACTGAAGTTGCCGTCACATGCTACCGCCAATTTGCCATCTCAAAACGGCTTCTGCACGTCATAAGAGTCTGGGAAACGCATACAGAGGCTGTACATACCATATTCTATGGCGAAGCAACACTCTCTGGGCAGGGCGCGCTTGCTATGGAATATGGGTGAAGGGTAACGCTTGAACGGCGGATGTTAAGACCGGGCGAGGGAGAACGAATGAAGGTGTTGTAATTGCGCATGTCAGAAATCAGAAGCAGAGGCTCAGAGCCGAAAATGTATACTTGAGCTGATCTCTCGTCCGTCGGATTATCCTTGAATGGGTTCAAGTCGGCAGAAAAGTCTACTGGTAGACCGGGCACGCAGTGACACAGAGACGAGGTATTGTGCCTTCCTGCTAGTCAGCGTAAGGATCACTCTCAAGTGCAGCTCCGAGCCTACGAGGAAATGCTATGGTCGGTTAGCGCGCTTGCAACCAGCTGTAGCCTCCAAGCTCATGGACCTCCGACAGAACCGCGCCTCCTGCAGGTTCGTTGTCTACCTTCGGATACGACCCTTTAAAGTATGTTTATCTTCGCACATAAGTGACACAAGCCGTCGTCAATGACCATACGGGTCGGGAGCTCTCGATGTAAGTACGCGCATCGCTGCCCACACTGGCACGATCCCGACTCTTCCTATCGAGAGCATGGCGTCGTCTCTGCCACCCGAGGTCGCTGGCGAAGGTAGGGATTGTGGGAAAAGCGGCAAGCTGCTCCAAAGCGACAATGCCCAGTCCCCGTGAAGGAACGGCATGGGAGGCTTCTTTCTCTCAACATGCAGATGATTGATGATGTTTGATTTAATATTATCGTCAACTTGCTGCGTGTATATAGTCGAACGCTGCGTTAAATTGAACAATACCAGGATCAGATGGCCGAGCGGTCTAAGGCGCCAGCTTAAGGTGTATGGTCGTTTTCAGAACGTCCATAGATAAGCGCTGGTCCGAAAGGGCGCGGGTTCGAATCCCGTTCTGATCAGAAATTTTTCATGGGCACATACGACCCCCATCTTTGCTTTTCCTTATATACGAAGATATGGGTTCGTCTTCGGGCTATTGTTTTGCAGTTGTCTCGAAGCCTATATGCGATAATCCTTTTGGAGTATCGACACATGTACCTTATATCGCGCACACGAAGTGCGGTACAAGTCCATGCGGAGAGGAGGAACAATACATGTACATGTACGTAAGGTACACGGATGCCTCCTTCCACCGCCGTCGACCTCTCAACCCCCACCTGTATTTCTTGAAACCATTCACACCACAACGATTGCAGCGTCTATGTACACTGCTGGCAAATAGAATTCCAACCTCCTGAAATCCCACGCAGGCTCCAAATGTGCATATCACTCAAACACTGATCCTCCTTGTTCGTCCACCGCCTCCCGTACTGAGCTGAAATAGGCGCCCGTAAGATCCTGTACCAAGTCAATGCTCGTGACACAATTCATAAGCCGTCCATTCCCCGTGTTCCGTGACTCCCAAGGCCCGGGTCGCATACCAGCACTTTGCTCCTGTCAAGAGGGCGCCACCATAGTCTATGCCCTTGCCATACTTTGCCACTACCACCAGGCACTACCGAGAAAGATTCCGCAAGACTCTCTGCAGACCAGCCATCACCTCGACCAGCCCTTCCTGGCTTGCTGGCGTCGTGTCTTCGGTCTTCTGCAGAGCAGTCACCTCCTCGGCCAGCTCTTCCTTGCTTCTTGGCGTCCCGTAGCGGTCCTGATAACGACTATGATCCCACTCTGCCCATCCCCTCCCCTGCCACTCTCTCGCCCAAGATGACCACTGCAGCCCAATATGCCTATTGGTTTCACTCCTCCTCCAGCCCCCGAACTTCTCCACAGTCTCGTCCCAATAGACTGCAGCCCTGGCCTCGAGCCAGCGATTATTCAGCTCACTTTCCTTCGGTCCCATCAAATCCGTTCCGGGCCGGTATGGCGGATCGTTCCAAGCGCCAGAATGAAGATCTCTCGTATACGGTAGCACATCGGCACTGAACTTTCCATTCTGATTATTCACCAGAAAGACAGGGACACAGTAGATCATCTTCAACGACTGTAGCTTGTTGAGTGTCTCGCGCGGTATTGACAGGAGCACCTGGTCGCGCAGATAGTGAGTAGACCTGTGATTTCGGGGCGTACTTTGTTGGTCGAGGGAAGATTACGCCCAGCCGTTGACGCCCTGCGATTTGGAGTAGTCGCACTCGGCCAATGTGCCTACGTGGAGCTCTAGGCGGTGGAGGTTGGGCAGCTTCGCAAGTATTTTGAGCGATGCTGGCCACCCAGGATGCAACCAATCGTTTTGACCGGATGGTCGTCGGAGGGCCTTCTTTACATATCCTTCGGGGTCGGAAGGCTCCCAAAATTGATCGCGATACTCGGTAAAGTGGTAGTCTTCGCCTAGCTCGATCGCAGTGATATTGTCGACTGCCTCTGTCCGCGCGAAAGAGATGAAATCGCGCAGTTTGTCGCACTCGCCGAACGCGAAAGTGTCGCCTCTCCAGAACGCCAAGAGGCCGGCCGCGGAGATGTCGGGATGTACCAAGAGTATGGCGAAGTGCACCTTCTGCGGACGCTTCCAGTTGGGGTCGATCAGTAGCTTGGCTTCGCGCTCCAGCTTGGCACGCTTCTTGGACTTCACCTCTTTGAGTCCCATGGGAGTGTGTTCACCCTGCGGAAGAAGGTATGTGAGTATGTGCACTTGCACTTCTCGTGGGAGGCGAAGCAAAGGGGAATGGTGTCCTGCATCGTCGGCCATCGCGAGGAGGGTGGTTGATCCAAGCTGGAGCCGAGCACGAGCGCGCGTCGAGATGATATAAGGCGACGAGATAGCCTCCAGCTTGCTTCTACCGTCAGACAATGCATTAGCACAGCTACAAGTTCACAAAGACAGTCTGTGTCTCATCTTGGTGCAGCTAGCATCTTCGTGAGGTCGTGTGCGTCGTCCTGCGCAACTGCTGAAAGGGTACACAGCGTGTCACGTTAGCGATAAAGAAGAGTTTGCTTGGTGTCAGCCGCATGTGTGTGCAAAAACCAAGGCAACACTGTCTCTTGCATGCCATTGACTCCATTGGCCAGACAAACGTAAGGTAGGACCGATTCTGCATCTGGGACACCGTAAATACATAGTCCGGTGAAAGCAGCTTCTAAGGCACGGATAATGCGCTCCAGATCTTCCCAGTCGGATCTAAGTGAAGCCTTTGTCCTCAGGGAGCCAGGGTGGGCATCTGCGCTTCCATCGGTGTTGCCATATGGAGCAGTGTCAGTGGCTTGCGCGGCCGTTCCATGTCACTCAGTTATTGAAAAGCGGTCGAATTGTCCAAACAAGCGGCAATGTCTCGTTGAAATACGATCTCCTCCGAAGAAGCACTCGCTGAGACGTTGGCGATATCTGGCGGTGGCGCCTGCCGTGGCACTGTTTGTGGATACCGTCCGATGTGTGTACACATACCGCCCAGAGTTTCCATTCGCTACGTCGTAGCGGGACCGCATGGTTCGCTCAAAGACCCGCATCTCCTCATGTAACTATGCTAGCCCCACCACTCTCCAAAGCCTCCATCTCCGCCTCCGTCCACTGTGTCCTATGAAACCGCCTCGGCAGCTCATTCCTATCCCAAAACTCGCCCTGCTTCGGCTGCACTGAGCCCAGCTGTTTCCCAGAGTGTCCACCGATCGCACCGTATGGCTTCGACGTTTGCGCCGCTGCGGACCCGGAAGGTGCCCCTTGCCGGACGGATGAGGTAGATTGTGATTGTGTACTTTGCTGCTGTTGTTGTTGTTGACCACCAAGGGGACCGTGTTGCGTGGCGCGATCGCGGTAGGAGGCGAAGGACTCGGGTAGCTCGTGGGAGGGAGAGGCGGGGTGGGCGTGAGGTGCGTGGTCGATCTCTGCGGTACAAGGTCAGTCTAGCAGGTCGACAGGCTACTAGTGTGCGTACCCTCTGCTTTCGGTGTATGTCGCTTGCCCAGGAACTTGATCAACGGCTGGCGTTGCGCCCAGAGGGCCCTAGTGGAGCGCATTGTGGAGGTGTTGATCTGCTGGGGGTGATGGCAGCGGTGTTTGAGGAGAGGGAGCTGAAGTGTATAAGCTTGCGTTCGCAATGCAGTAGAGCGTCTGTGTAGGTTTGTTTTGTATGTAGTGTTGTGAGTTCCTGCTGTGCCTGGACGATGAAAGAGCTCCACAACCATGTGGCCAGAATCCGCTAGCGCCGAATTGAGTGAACCTCGGGCACTCACGAGACATCACGCACATCTTCAGCATCTTCGCAGACATCCTGACGCCCACGATCAACATTGGCGAGACTGCAGAATCTACGAAGCGTTGTCCGCTGATGTATATGCCGTACTTGCGCAGTGAGCGTAGAGACCGAACTCACTCCAAGAATAATCTCTCATGTGGAACAACACTCTCTACATGACAGTATCAGTGCAATAACCAAAGACGACCAGGAAAATGCACGAGTTCTCTCTCTACTCGCAGATCCCTGCCACTCGACATGGTCAAGTATTGCAAATATTAGCCGGAGTAACAGCCTCACAGCCCACCTCGACACTCGAGCAGACCCTGATTTATCAACAAGCCAGACTCACCGAAACAGGAACCTCTAAGAAAGCATCAGCAGGTCGCCAGAATGCTGTGCCAGCTTCTAGGCTCAGCTACCACAAGCTGGTGCGGGATTTGAAGGGTTCGGATGGCGAGAAAGGGCCGTGGACGTTCCGCGCAGAGGATGTGCCATTACCTGGCATGCCGAACTTCGTCTCGCGGGCGACTACTGAGCATGTCTTGGGAGAGGCAGAGCTGGAGAACTTCCGACAAGGAAACGGATGGTACAAGTATGCAGTCGTTCCATCGTCTATCCACCTACATATCGCTAACAGCATCTCAGATACATCAACCAGTACCTCGCATCACCAGGCCACCGCTTTGTTCATTACAACATCGTCGTCCGTATCAGTCGCATCCTCTCCGTACCAGAGGGGACAGGAGCGCTGGAGCCACTCGACGCACCAACCCCCGTGCTCTCCGATTGCAAGCCCATAGACCCCTCGGGTACTTACCACTTTGAAGCCTGCGTGAGGGTGGAGGACGGCGGCAACTCGAAGATCGTCGAGCAGGCTACGGCGGAGCTGATGGCGTTCAAGAAGCAGGTGGAGGGTGCGGTTGACTTGCGTGTGCCGGAGCGGTTGGCGTTTGACACAAGAGTCAAAGGCACCTGAGGGCATTTGGGGAGCACTGACTGCCACTACTTGCCTCCTAGTATGGTGCCAAAAGGCATCTTCAGTCTTCGTCATTTCTCCATTCGGCACTCGGAAGCATGGCGGCCTGGCCGGATTTCTGCACTGCCGAAGCCGGAAACGCTAAAGTTCGGCACATTTCGCATGACGTAGCTTTCAGTGCCAAGAGATTGAACCTCACATGCGCCTCACCTCCTTGTAATCGAAGCTCGTCTATGAAGGGTCAGTCCGTAACACAACAACGCAGCGCGAAAAGTCAGCGGAACTCATGTTACGGCCGTACCTGCAGGAAAGAACGCGCGCGCAGGTCAAGGATGCTGGCGGATGTGCTTCCGCCAAGCCCACGATATGACCGATAGAGTCTTCGCCGGCGCGAGGCCATGACGTTTACTATGGAGACCTTTCCAACGCCTAACATTCGCACCTTTGCTGTTGGCCAAAGGTGGGTAAGCCGACTGTCGCTTTGACCATGTCGGAGACCGCGGGAATGAGACTTCACTTCGCATCCGTCTCCTCTGACAGACCGAGAACTGTCTTGCCTCTATTGGATTCATCCTCGTCAATACCATCACCAGTCGCGCTCGCAGGTGATACTAGGTCAGTATGCCGCAAATCGTGGGCATGCCGATGTCGTTCCTCGACTGGATCGACACCTACCGCGTCTTCCATGGCAAGAAATCCAAGCAAGATACAGCAAATGCGACGGTTCCATCTGGCGAGACGACGCCGCGACAAGAAA